TAGTCAGAGAAAGACAAAAACCCCATCCTGGGGAAAGGGTCTAAGCCCGGGAGGGGTCCGGAGTGTTCCTGAGGGTTTTTATTTTATCGGGAGGGGGGGGGGTGGGGGGGGGGGGTACTCGTGTAACGCGTGCCGTAGTCGTTAGACCCTTGACCTCGCATGTCGGGACGGAGCGACATTGCCGGCCTAAGCTGCCGTTCACAAACATAAACCAGACGCTAGGCATCATCCTTGCATTGCCATGCGTACTTCTAGACCGGTAGGGGTGTGTATGTACCCATCGTCATGAGCAATACTATTGTGGAAACCGTCCGTGTCCGCCACAATTCTAGGGGGGCGCACGTCCGCCGCCCGCCAGGTATTCAGTGAGGGAGGAGGAAGGGGGGTACGTGGGTTTTGAGGTCGTTGCCGACCACTGGTGACTAGCTCACGGCGTAGACTCAAACAGGCACCAGTGATCCACCGGTCAGGTGCATCTACATGTTGTAGGGGGGCGACGATCGGTGATGTTTCTGAAAAAGACACCGCCAAAGCCAGGACACAGCAGTCCCACGGAAGAGAAAGACACGCGACACCAAGGGCCTCGCGATCAAAGGCCAGGCCGTCCATGGCGAAGGAACCAACAACCCCTCTGCTTCCAAGTCCATGCGAAAGAAACAACGGTCACTACCATCGCGACACAGCTTTATCACGGATCGACGTACAGACAGACACACCTGCTGCCCAGTCTCGCTCCAGATGCGGATCTGGAAGTCAACCACCTGACCGCTGTCTTGGCGCCCCGTCGAGCCAGTCGCCACCTTTATTGGCGAAGCCCAGACCGCGGCGGGCGAGGGGGGGGGGGGGAAGATGGGCAGGAGATGGACGTCCGGTCAAAGTTTCAATAGCTGTTGAACACCCCGGAATAGTCTCCCCAGCGACAGAACATCCCCTTCAAACATGATCCTGGGAAGGGGGGGGGGTCGAAACGTAACATTTCTGCGGTGCCACCTGCCGTCCATTCCAAGTTATAATGCCACACAAAATCCTGTAGACCCTTCCCCAGCCCGGTTTGGCCCTTAATCTGAGCAGGACGTCAGGACCCCGCCCGCTACACGGGTCTTATCCATACCGCGTCATTTCCCAAGCGGACTGCCAAACTCGCCTTTCCGTCCGGCAAGCCGAGCACGCACACTCCGTTCTCGTGCCCTCCGAGGGTGAACACGCAAACCCCTCCCGCCACGTCCCAGACCTTCGCCGTGCCGTCCCAGCTCCCGCTGATGAGCTGCCTCGACGAAAAGCAACAAGTTCCGATTTTCCGTTCGCATGTGTTCGTGTGCAAAGCGAGGGGAGGGAGGAATGGGCGGCGGGGGAGAATGAATGCGAGATGCCTCGGCTGGCCAATAAGAATAAAGAGAAACCCCCTTTCCACTCCTGAGCTCAACTAACCAAGCGAATGCTGTAGGTGACCCTTGTAGAAATATTTCGCCGCTTCTCCCCCCCCGTAAGCTGTGATCGAAAACAATCCGCGACGACCCCTCTGTCTCCCTCCCCTCCTCTCCAGCCATTCTTGCTGCTGCCGTCCATCTGGAATCAACGCCCCGTTTTCTGTGGCCTTGTTGTTGCAGCACCGCGATCACACCGCTACCTGAACTGCACCTCTTGCTAAAAAACGAACTTTGTCATTGAACTCCCCTGTACCGCCCCCATAAAACAACCAGAACCTCCTGCGTGCGGACCCTCCAACCGAAAAAGCAGAGACCGTCTCCTTGTTCGCACTATTCGAAGACACAGACGCGACGCGCAACAACAACAGATCCCCCCCCAGTGGTCTAACTGCTAAGGCATGCAAAACATGACGTACGTCCCGGCTCTGCAGGGATGCGAGGTCAACGGTCTAACGGCTACGGCATCCACGGCTATGAGTACCCCACCTGGCCGGCCGCTGTCCAGCTGAAAGAAATGACACCGCCCTCGTGGCCCTGGAGCATCCGCTGCTGCTTTCCCTGGTGGTCGTACACCCTGACGAGCTTGTCCAAGCACCCGGTCACGAGGCCCCCCTGGGGACACTCGGGGACTATCCCCGGCGGAAGGGCGGCGAGGGAGACGACCCAGTGGTTGTGGTCCGCAAGGGTCTCTGTCGAGAGAGAGAGAAAGCGAGCGAGCGTTTGCCAGACGCAAGAAAAAAAGAACATCAGGTGATGCCTGCAGCCGAAAGGAGAATATGGTACTGTACCATGCTTCGTGAAACAATCAAGCAACCGAGCAGCATAACCCCCTACACACACACACACAGCTGGTTAGCGCGGTCGGTGCGAATAATAAAAAAACACACACACACACACTCGCCACTCAGCAACAGCAGCCTGAACAAACACAGAGATGCCGCCTACCTCCGATGTCGTAGTACACTCCGCCGCCCCCCTCGCTCTTTCCGTCCTTTGGGGTCCACAGTCTGGCGGTGTGGTCTTGGGAGGCCGATGCCAGCCGTCCGTCAAGGAGGGCCTGCACAGCCCTCACCTACTCGTTCGTGCAATCCGAAGTCCGTCGGAAAGGTGGACAGAGAAAGAGAGAGAGAGAGAGAGAGAGAGAGAGAGAGAGAGAGAGAGAGAGAGAGAGAGAGGGGGGGAAAGAGAGAGACAGATTGACAGAGACAGAAACAGAGACAGACAAAGAGACAGAAACAGCGGCAGAGAGACAAGAGAGACAGAAAGGAGACACAAGAGGACGCGAAGATGCGTCTTGTCTTGGTATCTAGGAAACCACGTGGAGGTACGAAAATACAATACTTCGAGCGGAACTAACTTTCGGATATTTTCGTGAAGGTTTTCCACAGAGCACAACTACCTGAGGAAACACGCACGGCGTTTTTCAAAAGGGGTCCAAAACATCTTACAGGTGATGCCTCCTCATTTCTCTGCTGCAGAAGGTGCCCGTCAAGGCGGAGGCAGTACTGAACCGCGGTCACCATCTGGTGTGTGCCTATCTGGCTCTGCATTCTACGGGAGAACATGTAGCCAACAGTTGGAAAATCCGTGTGCTGCACGCGTCCTAAGGCTAATAGTCGTTGAGGTCTGCGCCGAGCTCGTGACTACCATTGCCTCGTCGACACTGGTACCCCGCGATCGGAGGTGTTGACGTTTTGTACCATACGCCGGTATGGCAGCTCATGTTAAATACAGTAGGTGGACGTTGGTGCAGTGCCTCGTGTACATCTGGTGACGCCAAAGAACCAAACAACCTATGCATATGTACATCCCTACCCCCGTGCGCTCAATTTCTCAACAAGGGATCGGAGATTGGTCGTGTATCGAAAAAGGGCTTGCCAGTAGCGTTGTACTGAAAGAGCTCAGGGCTCTGCTTTGGATCTTCGGACATCCGCAGGTTGTTCGTGGAGCAATCGAGTTGAGAAATGCCCTGCAACCATGAATGCACACTATATGGGAGAGACAGAAAAGAAAATAATATGTCGTAGTTGACAAGAGCACCCATTGAAAGCAGGGCACGGCGGCCATTGCGCCACACCAGGAAGCCCCAGCCCAACCTGTCCGCTTAGGATCTACGATAGGCATCAGCTATGCCTACAGTAGGCACCACAACTACCAAATAGAGAACAGCAGCAAATCGGTCCGTCTGTGCTCCGCCCCTGTCAACAGCAACTCTATCACGCCGCCTTTGCGAAAAAGGTCTTGCGCGCCAAACATCCAAAGGATGCAGTAACAGCCCAGCGAAGGCCTGCGTTCACCGCTGCAGCGCTCAGGGCGGAGTCACTTTGCGAGAGAGAGAGAGAGAGAGCTATGATACAAACATAAACATCTATCGAACACGGAAAGAGCATGTAAATGTCGAGAGAGGTATTGTTGCGCATTGCCTCGACGCTATCGCGCAACCGTAAGGTGAACTCAGCCTCGAGTAGACTCACCGGACCCTCGTGGCCCAGCATCTCGGCCGACAGCGCGAAAGGTTGGAAGTCGCTCATTTTCTACGCCGTGCACAAACAAGCACCAAGCGAGTGTGCCGCACACGCCGTTGTGCTCGAACAAAGCAGAAAGAGGTTGAGAGCGCCGGCAGGGGGCCCGCAGAAGAAAGTTTGGTCGCTCGTCTGGAGTTGCGTTTTCGTCTCAGTAGCGTTTATGGACGGACGAGTGGCCGGGGACACGAGGAAATGAGGATTGTTGCTTCAGAGGAGATTGCTCTCGTGTGCCCGTGTTGTGCTCATCTTGTAGGTATTATCGTCACCAGCGAGAGGGAGACAAAGTTCACTCACCAGAAGCGGGTCCCTATCTGGGTATTATCATCACGGTGCTACCAGATGTTATTTAGTCTACCTACAGAACCGTAGTGCGGCACAGACGCGTATCCCCACCAATATCCATCATCTGTGTGAGCTCACGAACGAACGGCAATGTGGTTGCAGCACTCTATGCTGTGCATGTGTGTGTAGAGATGTCAGTTTGATGGCAGCGCAAACAAACAAGTGTGACGAACGAGAGTGATATCCGCACCTCTTGTACCTTGACGTGTTTCCTGCTGCTCCCTCCACACTAATTTATTTGCAAATCGACGCTTGTTCGGTGCTGACGGTTTCAGGGGTTGCATGCAAAGTGAGTTTTTCTCTCGCTTCCGCTCCTGGCCTAGTGGATAGCGCTAGTTCGTGTGTACACAGAGGGAAGAGAGTGCTGAACTCTTTTCGCATTAAAAATCGAAGGCAACGTACCGCAGGAGGGGAGGGTAGAGAGTGATATTCCTGCTCCCTCCACCCTCCACACAAACGTGCAAATGATGACGCTTGTTCGGTTGTTCGGCGCTGACGGTTTCAGGGGTTGCATAGCTCTGGTCCCCGGTTCCCTGGCCCCCACCTTCCGTTTTCCATTTTCGAAAAGCTGGAAACAGCGGACACAGCGAGGCGCGAGGTGTCGAGGGTGTAAGACAGAGCAGTAAAGGCCACGTGTCTTGGTTGGTTCCCGCATCACCGCAGTGTACTCTCCCCCTCCAGGGCCTGGCTTCACCGCGCCCACAACGAACAGCAGCAGCGTTTCGAAGGCCCCTGTTCCCCTGCAAAACTACAGGAGGTGACGCATGCTGACTGGAGATGCTACTATATAGAAGTCTAATGGTTGCAGTCTTTCCGAAAATGAACTGAAATGAACACAGCAGCAGGCGTGCTTCCCGGCCTAGTAACACGCGGAGATGTTTTTTGGTTGTCGAGGCGATGCACATCCCGCACCGCCATATCCTTAACTATGTAGGATGTTTAAATAGGAAAAATAGGATGTTTTATGTTGCCGCCAATGTGACGGGTTGACGGTTTCAGTTTGTAGACTCAACAGCTCATCAGACTGTGGGCAGATTACAGCAGTGGGGGGCTCTCAGTAGTGCCAGCATGGATCAGACCAGCATACCGGTATTCAGAGGGACCAGTACGATTCAAAATACTGAATGACTTGGTGATTCAGTCTGTGCCCGACCAAAACGCCGGCACTATGCCGGGGCGTCGGCAACCGGAACTACGGAGTGCCCTTGTCTGGAACCCGACTGCGAAAAGTGCGTACCGCGGATGATACGTATCCGATCTGGGTCTACAGCAGCAGTAGGGACCACCTCGTAGCCTCGTTGTAGACCTGCCAGAGGTTGTGGGTTCGAATATCCCACAGGGGTGAACACATATGCACTTCTGCGGGAGGAAAGCGATCGAGTCGACAGTTCTTCTACACTTAGCGAGAAGGGGCAAGCGACTGGAACGGTTCTTGTTTTTTCGTTCGACGGAGTCGTGCCAAGGGGGCCGTAAACAATCGGTTTTCCAGTCCAACCCCAAAAGATAGGTGGAGAACTACTGCTGTACAGTAGTACCATGACTTCTTTACTGTTGCATCAAATACTTACCGGAAGGCGTAGGGTGGCGCCGGAATAGAGGAGACCAAAACAAATCCACACAATACACGTGTATGTAAAAACACAACTAACTGGCACACATTGGTTCACGGGGGAAAGGCCGAAACTCGTTCGAGATCAAGGCAAATACCAGCCTACCAACATTGACGAAGGTGGAGCCAAAAGGTGCAGAGAGAAACTTCGGCCTGTCCTTCTCCCGTGCAACACCGGCTGGCGCTTGAGGGCGCACGGGGGATCGCGGTGCCTCCTCTTCAAAACTACAGGAAACGCCTGCATATCTCACTTTTCCAAAGTCCAACTCCAGTACGACACTACCATCGCGAACTAACCGTCCGCAGCGGTCGCTTGTGTACAATGTAAGTGTCTGAGGCTGTTGCCCTTGTGGTACACTGCAGATGGCGGTCCGCGATTTTCCACACAATCCTTCTATCATCGAGATCGGTGAGCAAGAAGCTGGATTTTTGAAGCTGCTGTGCGGTCCGATTTTGAAACGCTTTACACAGCAACGGCGAATCAGCGCCTATGTGGGTGTTTGGCGCCGAGAACTTCAGCGCAGCTCTTCCCTCACATGTCCCACTCGTCGCCATAGTCGATTTGGATGCCTGCGGTCCTGTATATGTAGGTCTAGCCAAAAAGCAATGGTGTTCGAAGCTTTTCAAAATCGGACCGCACAGCAGCTTCAAAATTCCAGCTTCTAGCTCACCGATCTCGATGACAGAAGGATCGTTTGGAAAATCGCGGACCTCTAGTCTGTAGTGTATCCCAAGGGCTACAATCTCAGACACTAACACTGTACACAATATGTAGGTGTAGCCATAAGCAAAGGTGCTTGAAGCGTTGCAAAATCGGACCGCACAGCAGCTTCAAAAACCCAGCTTCTAGCTTACCAATCTCGATGATAGAAGGATCGTTTGGAAAATCGCGGACCGCTACAGTAGTCTACAGCGTATCCCAAGGGTTACAATCTCAGACACTAACAATGTACACAGGCGACTATTGCGGACGGTTAGTTTGCGATGGTAGTTTCATACTGGAGTTGGACTTTGGAAAAGTAAGATATCCAGGCGTTTCCTCTATTTAGTTTTCAAGAGAAGACACTGCGTTCCCTCGTGCGCCCTTACAAAGTTCGAAGTGTAAAGACTTATGTCCAGCTTGTCACGAAAAGGGTTTGTTCCTACCAAGAATAGAAAAGCAGGCGGACAACGTGTGCCTATGTATTTCTCGTCCGGCCCATTCAGCAGTAGGTTAAAAGAACTCAGACAGCGAGCAGCGTCGCTTGAGAAACAGAGCACTTTGGTTCTATAGATTTCACCTTCCAAGCTATATTTTGTTTGTACCTCAACTTCTGTCCCTCGCTGATCTTGGCACAGGTCCCCTCTACAATGGTGCAAGCGGATCGTAAGATATTGGCTCTCCTGTATCACAGCACCGGCGGACCCGCATGGAGCAGAAGTCACAACTGGAATACGAAGGCCGATATCTCATCTTGGCGAGGCGTGAAAGTCAACTCCAAGGGCCGCGTGGTCCAGCTCGACCTGAGCAACAACAAACTTGAAGGTGCTCTCAACCCCCTCACCAGGACAAAGCGGCGGCAGGAGTGTGTTAAGATCGCCCTTTGATTCATCTGTAACTTCTTCTTTATGTACTTCGTTTCCTCGTAAACATTCATCCGATGTCGCTGATCGCAACCATGTTTGCAACAGAGCCGCGGGTGATGTGTGGCGATTGTCAGCGGCGCACAGGGTTGGGGACTTACAGATGTTCCCTGGGTTCTACCTGGTCCCACCAACGCGTCCGCGGTTCCAACGTTCTTGATTTGCCCCCCCTTTTTCGCCGCTTGAACTTCAGGAGTTATACCCAAGGAACTAGGCAACCTACGAGCGCTGACGTCGCTGGATCTACGTTCCAACGAGTTGAAAGGTGAAGTTTGCGTTGCCATATTGTTGGGTACAAAAGGGCAGAACGACAGTCGTTTCTGGGGCATCCTTCCCACCAAAGCGAGGCCAGGTCCGATGTCTTTTGTGTGCTCATAGGAGTTTGGCGGGACAAGCTCGAGGGGCCGGCGGAGTTACAGTAGAGGTCCCTGTTTAGTGCCAGTATGTGTCCAGACAATTTACCGGTACTATTTGGGACCGCCTCTATTCTTGCATCGAGAATGGCATGGAAATTCAGTGTGCGCCCGCTGAAAACACGAAAACACCGACACTATGCTGGGCACCGGCACTAAACAGGGGCCTCTAATGTATGGTTTGTAATGTCCGCCTGTTGTATTGTTGTTCCAACCGAGCTGGAGCTCGTTCAACCTGCTGAGAGCTCCCGGCACCTCAAGCATGAGATCAGCAACGGCAGCATGGCGTATATAAAATATACCAGGGATGAAATAACGAGCAACCGAATATGCCTCTTATGTTTCATCTACAAGTCGTAAGGGGGGACTCAACCTGTTTATCCTCCGGATTTTCACTAAATAGCGCGATGCTTCGACTGGCTTGTTTGCAGAACACATCCCGAAACAGCTGGGGAGTCTAACAGCCTTGGAACACCTCGACCTCAGCAGGAACCAGCTAGGAGGTGGGTACAGAAAATCGAACTGGCAAACTCATTATTCCACTTCTTCTGCAGAAAGACGTACATCCTTGTCAATGGGTACACTTCGCTCAAGCCGTATATACCCGGGGCGAAATGTGATGCGGGACAGCACTGTGTATACTGAAACACCACGCTTGGGTCTATTCCGTATCGCACGGTGCGTTGGGTTCGGGAGGGGGTGGACCAAGAGGCTGAGAGGAGGGGGTGGGAACACTTTTTCCGAGCCGGGACTTCAAGTTGATATCATGGCGACGAAAACAGTAATAGCGAAATGGCTGCAAACGTGCGCTCGCACTCCTGTGTGCTCTCAGAGCGCTTCATCGGTAGGTGACGCGCACCCCCGGTCATGTTCAGCTGGCTCGTTCGAGATCTAGTAGAGCCCATCATCCGTATGAAATGCGGCGGTGTGTATACAATACGAGGTTTCGTCTGTCTGTCACACGCACCAGGCCAGGCGGCGGTAGGTACTACAGTGCATGGTGTCGAGCAGCATTTTGGAACGAAGGAACATGCAACCATTCTACCCGAGTGACCGCGGGGTTGTTGTTTGCAGAAGCAGTGGCCTGCGTGGTTATTCTCATATTTGGCCATCACGACAACCCAGTTCGTATTCGCCATCAGGGCGTGACACCAAGCAAATTCGTTGGAGAATGAAGGAAATACACATACACAAATGAAGCGAGATGAAACGCCGCCCGGTTCAACGTGGAACACAGCAAACCATCGGAAAGAGGGGGAGATGAAGGTTTGGCAGTCACCGCCATCATCCAACAGAAGCAAATAGATGGCCAAACATGTAGTGCTCAGGCCGCACTCTCCAAGCCATTATCCAGAAGCAAGCCAACCAGGTCTGGTCCACCCTCGGACACATCTCGCGACCAGACAACTCTGCAAACGAGTGCAGAAATTCTCTTCGGGAAGGCCGTAGGCAAAGGAGTTCTATCATTGCTGGCGGAACCCTGGCCTTCCCCGGAAGGACCAATGCGCCAGAACTGCATCGAATGTCCCTCGGTCGCCGTTACGACCGAGCCAAACATAAGGCAGGAACATATTGTGGTTGCGGCGCACTTGGTCGTGTGCTAACCCTCGGAGACGCTTCCACACACTCACCTGCATGCCAAAACATTCCTCAACAATCGGATCGCACACGTTGTTGGGAAAACCATCTGTAAGTGTGACATGAAGGTGGCTGTCCGAAGACTCCTCCAAGTGGTTCGTACTAGACATTGGTCAAAGTAAACGGCCTAATCAAAGATGGAGTTGGTCATGCCTGTATCGTACCATGTATTCGCTGGATTCTAGAACACGTGGTCCCGCCAATGCGTGAGTGAGTAGGCCGTTTTCTCGCTGTCGCAGCATCTTTGGTCGGTTCCATGATCGTGTCACTGTCTATGCAGGATCCATCCCGACGACGCTAGGCGCTCTGAGCAAGCTGAAGACTGTTCAGCTCCACGCCAACAAGTTAACCGGTGAGGGAGTCCAGGCGGGCATGGAATTTCTGGTTTCATTGTAAGTGCGCTCCGCGCACTTTCGCATTAATCGATCTTCTTCTCTAGCCGGACTGGAAGGTTGCAGTCACCTCACGTGGTGTGTGGTTTGGTTGCTCTCTTAAATAAGATAAATGAGGCAGAGAAGGCTCCAAGCTCGGGATGAAGCCTGCGGCAAGTCGATTTTTTTTTTTGCGCCATTTGTTTTGGCTTCGGACAGCATGCTCCCCTATGCGTGTGACAAACAAATGTCCTCAAAGGCAGATAGCCCAAACCAGGAAGACTCTCTCGTTGTTTTACTCGTTGACGTTGAGCCGATTGCCTAAGATTGCTCGGTGTACTAGCGGTGAAAAAAGGTTTGGAGTTGAAGAATCACTCTAAGAGCACATGCTGACGGCGATGTTCTCGAAGCCTACAGATTACATGACGCCGAGGTTAACGTGGTTTCGATACTACTGCTGTGCTGCAAAAAGCAGGAAACATCCCCAAGAGTCTGGGAGCTTTGAGGAAGCTGCAAGAGCTTTCTCTCTACAACAACGAACTTTCTGGTGAGAAATGATGCAAATGGGAACGAGCATTGTTCTTCACCACCACCCGGCCTACGGACTTCTTCGCAGGGCCGATAGTCTACCACGAGCTTCTCACACGATTTTCTCCTTTGTTGTTGCCACTGCGCTGCTTTGTGCAGGGCCCATTCCCAAGGAGTTGGGAGCCCTCACCGAGCTGCAGAAGCTAGATCTATATCGCAATAATCTGTCAGGTCAGTGGTCTTACTGCAATTACGATGATATTTCGCTCTTCGCTTGCCGAGATTGGCCTCTTCTAGACCGCATGTCCCACCAACACGTTGCCGAGACCAGTGTTCTAGAATCTAGAACGAACAGCGCTTGTTCCCTGGAGGAAGGACAAAAGACCGATAACTCAGACTTACCTGAAGCTGATTCTTGAACAGCGGAAGTATGTACCTCCAGTGTTTTCCGAGCTCCCAGCTCATTGCGAATGTGTCCACACTAGCCGCGCACGTTGGATACACGGCGAAAGCGAAAACGTTTTGCGATCGGTGTTGCTGTTCGTGTACAACATGCGATGGCCTGCTCTTCCACGCATGGGGAGGACTAATGCGCGGGTGGACAGATGTGGTACCAGCCGCTGGAAATCGAGCTGATTTTCTGTTCCTTGTTGGGTCCGTTTGTGCCCCATCATTGCAGGTCCCATCCCGCCGGAGTTTGGATATATCACAGCGTTGGTGTCCATGATCCTCTTCCAGAACAATCTCACCGGTATGTAAAAATGTTCACATGCGATGTGATGTCGCAGGGAAAAAGCAGCACTTGTGCCTCCCACGCGGTGGAATGGGTATCAACAAGTAGGTCCCGTATGCATAGACAGGACACGGTCTACGGGCCTCGACTTGAGCGTATGTTCCAACAGAGTCCATCGGAACAACTCTGCAAGAAGTGTGACAAACAGAACAGCGATTTGTTACAGTAGTGCATGTTGCCTGAAAGCTGGGTTAGTAACCAGTCAAACGCCTCCAGCTTGCTGAGAGCTCCCAGCGCTTCGGGGATGTATCCTGCACGGGCAACACAGCACATGAAGGAACATCGATTTTCGAACGTATACTCAGTAGGGACAGGTCTTTCTAGTACAAAACGGCAAGAAAGCCGATGGGTCATTTCCTCGCTCAAACCGTGTTCTTCTCGTTTGCTGCAGGCGGTATCCCGAAACAGCTGGGAAACATCACAGGGCTGCACACGTTAGAAATCCACAGGAACCAGCTGAGCGGTGAGTTGTTGCGCACTGGCGTGCCATATCACCTCTCCGGAACAACGTTGGAATCAGTGTGAACGATGCGTATAGTTGGAGCACGGAAGCCAGCGGAGCCATTTTACATGCCGGACGAAACGGACCGAAGCTCCACGCTGCCCACCAGTAAGCCGGTTGGTGTCTGGCGAGAACGCTCCCAGCTTGCGGAGAACTCCCAGCAGTGCAAAAAGAGAAGCCACCTCTGGAACATGAGGGACTTAGGCCCGACCTATGTGCGCAAAAGCAGAACCACCTGATCTAGAGTCCCACCACGTGTGTTACGGGATTTCATTTTCAGGGAACATCCCCTCGGAGCTAGGAGCCCTGAGAAACCTGGAGTCGCTCTGGCTTTGCGACAACCAGCTTTCTGGTAAGGACTGTGTCAACACTGCTGCCGTTGTTCCAATATGTGTCTCCACCAACCTGTTACACAACCGATGTTTCTCCACAACCGCCTTGGCTTGACGCGTGTTCCCGAAAGTACCAAACATCACACCTTATTTTCCTTTTGCCGGTCTCCCGACACTTTTCAGGCCCTGTACCGGCGTCGCTGGGACAGCTCACCAATTTGCAACGAATCGAACTGGATAACAACCGCATTGTCGGTGAGTACCTCAATGGAATCGGTGTGCATGACCTTGAACGAATGTCATGCACGCATGGGCCTTGGGAGGGGCAAATCTCCTACAGTGTTTTTCAAAAAAAAATCCCGCTCTCACGCTGGGTAACGTGTTGTGATTTGTGGTTAGCACTACCAGACCGTTTGACTACGCCGAATTGTTTTCGGCCCTGGAGTAGAATCAAAAACACTTCAGAGCTCACGGGCGTTTCAGAAAGTCATTGGACAAAACACCGAGAGATGCTTAGTACATGAACGGAAGGAGGAAAGCTCGTCCTACAAATCTAAAACACGAGGCGGACCTGGAAGGTTATTCTGTCAATAGATTAACCACTATCAACAGAACACCGGTTCATTGCGGTCAGCCACGCCAACGTGAACAAAGACGCGTAATAGAAGAACCTCACCTCGTGTGACACCCTGGCAAGTCGGTGCTTGTCGAACAGATGCATTCCGACTTCCAATGGGTTCGGACTATGTTTCGTTCGGAATTTGCCATGCGTAAGGTTGAAGGCAGAAACACGCGAAAACCTGACTTGAAGCACCTGCGTTGGAAATTTGGAAGCTTGTTTCAACGCACGTGACTCTACAGTGGCCGGCGAAAGGAACCCTCCATATTTCGTCCGGTTTTTGCCTGACGTTCGTGTGACTCAGGAGGGCCGATGAGTGGCGAGAGCCTTGGTTTGTGGATGGCAAGGTTACGGAGGCAGGAGACTGCCCGTCATGGGAAGAAAGAGACAACCATGGATACCATCAGCTCCCCAATACCAGGTGGGAACCTCCAGGGGAAACACGGGGCTGCGACTGAACGCAATTCCTCGTTGCGCAGTCCCATGGCAAGGTTACGGGGGCAGGAGAGTGCCCGTCATGGGAAGAAAGAGACAACCGTCGAAACCATCAGCCCCCCAACACAAGGCGGAAACCTCTGGGGGGCACACGGCGCTGCGGATGAACGCCATTCCTCGGTACGCAATTCCTCATTAGACGGGGGAGATGCGGAGAACTTGTTTCGGGCGCAGGTCGCTTCCTTTGCGGAGTTGGATGAGATCACCCGAGACAATCACAAAACTCTGGAAGAAGTTAAACGGCTCCTCGAATCAACCGCCACCGGTAGCGGCCCTACCGGCGCTGATCTCACCCGTACCGACAAGCTACAGGAGCTCGACAGGCTGGTAGCAATGGCCAAGGATCTCGGCGACGTGGCGGTGAGTGCTGCAGTTCAGTCATACGTTTTACTTGGCTACAACGGCATGGGGGTGAACTGACACGTGTTTGCCCAATGCCGCGTGGGGTGTCGTGCGCCGTACACGCACTTGTGATCGTCTCTGCGTCCGATCCTCCCCAATGCTTGCCGATCACCCCAGTTTGAGTCCTGTACAAAGATTGCCTCGACGTGACCACGAGACGATACGCGATGTTGTCTAACTGCGCAGTCCAAACACATGGAGGACAAGGACATGCATCGAAAGGAGCTTGCCTTACCCCCGGGTTCGAAAGCGTATTACACCACCATCAGAACGGGTGTATGCAATGCATACCTCGCTGGCAGCGTCGTCGGCAGTCGCTTGGTTCGTACAAGCAAGACCGGGGGTATGAGCATGGTGAGTGCTGACCTAACGGTTGTGTGATCGTTTAGCGGTCTGTTCCGTGTCATTCGCTGTGCAGTGTTCGTTCGCAGGTGCGCGTCTTTTGTCCAGACCCGAGATGCTTTGTTTGCCGTCTTGCAGGCGGGGGAATTCCTGAATCTGCTGTCTGGTGCGCTTCCCTTTGTCGGCGGGCTAGCTGGCTTCGCAGCCGAAGCTTTGAAGGCTGGGGACAACAACATCCAAACTCGGCGGGTGATCAAGGTGAGCGTGCTTTCATGCACGAGGGGGCCGTGAATATTGACGCATTTTGTACGCCCGCGTCGCCCTAGATGCCTGCCCAGTCTTGGGTAACGTTCACCAGCCACGGCTCACCCTTGATGCTTACCCTTGATGCTTGACAGATGACCGATCTGGCACCTGATGCGGTGGAGTGTTGTTCGGTGGCAAAGCTACTGGGCTTACGCCTCACCGACTACCTCTCAGACGAAACCATCACCACGTCCTACGACGGGCGGGGAGGCCCCGTGCACAGTGCAGCAGGCTTTGGCGAGGGGGCAGGTATAGGTGAAGTTTGAAAACGGAATTTGCGTTCTCAACCATGTGACGTCCACGGCTGAACAACGCCATGGCCTGGAACTGGTTTTGCGTGGTTTTGATGGCCGCAATTGTCGACCGGTGCCGAAACAAGATATTTGTGGCGTGATTCGTTTTCGTGGGAATACGTGCACGCAGAACCTGTGGTATGTAACGCACCTCTCACAGGTTTGGTCTTACAGACCGGTCGACTACACAATCTCTGCGATTTCGTTGTTTGAAAAATATTACCGTGACCGTGATGTGTTCTTGGACCAAGCACGTGTGTAGCATATATGGGGCAGGAGGAGGCAAGTTGACCCCTTCGTTTTTTTGATAGGCCAGGGTTGACTCGTTGTTGATATTCTGTATGAGCGCCGAATGTTTGGCTCGTAGGCCGCGCAAGGCGTCTCGAACCGACTGGAGCGTTGGCATGAGTTCATCGCCTAGGCCGAAGACGGTCGTGATGTTTCAAGGTACCAAGTATCTCCCACAACGTTGAGTTGTCGCGCGGGCCGTCTACGATTCTTTGTTTCGTGTTCACAGGCGCGTGCGAATGGAGTCAGAGCAATGGCGGCTTGCCAGATTGTGCAAGCGACGAAGACTTCATGGAGTGGTTCGCTGAAGAGGCGGCGAGCTGCGTGCCAAACAACACAGGGAAGAGCACCCCTGAAGAAAAGGTATTTACTTGAAGAACAGTTTTGGCGCGCTTCTTGTACGGCACGCTCCCTAGCGGGAATATTTCCAAGGAGCTTCGGCGATCGATGTTCGCACCACCTTTCGTCCGCGCCCCCGTTCTCGGCAGACTGGGAGGCGGCTGGGGAAGCGACACATCCGCATGATACTGGCGGCGGTGGAGCGGGGTTGTCTCCAAGGCACACACGCCATCGAAGAAAAGGTGTGACACCGTTATGTTCAGAGAGCCAGCTCGTCTTGCATCTTGGTAGTACGTTGGCTGAACTGCTCCGTTTTTCGAAGGCTCCGGGGACTATCACGGCAGGCGATGTCCTCACAAACTTCGCGCTGTGGCCATACATGAGTGCAGATGGGTTATTTTCCAACGATCAACCAACAGGAAGAATTCACCTCATCACACGTTTCGGCCAACACATGATATGTTTACACTGCGATTTAGGTTGAACAGCTGCTGAAGGTGGTTGTTCCCGAGGCCGGCGCGAAGCCTGTTTCGAACTCAAATGCTCAAGAGAGATCGTTCGAGCAGCATCCTGCTGCGCCGGCGCCATCCCATGACGGAGGCTTGGACCTGCATGCAGAGTTTGCCGCCATGCAAGCAAAATTGGAAGCATTGGAGATCGAGAATGGGAAGCTCACGAGGAAGGTGAGCGGAGTCAGTTTTCTCCACACAACCTCAACGCATTTGCACTTTTGATGTGACGTGTCCTAAGCAGTGTTGACCTGTGAGCTGCCAAAACCTGCCGCCCGAACGATGCGTGCAGCAAACTCAAATCGAGGTTTCGCGATCCTGTTATCCACATGTTCAGGTTTCGACCATGGAGAAGAGCATCCCAAAGCCTCAGGGAGAACCGAGCGACGAAGTGGATGTGGGTGAGTGCAAATGCTGCACCCTGTACGTTCAAAAATCGGCGCGCCCGGAGCAGAAAAATGGGTCCAGGCAGTGCCCCATTCGCTTTTCCCCTTTATCCTTACTCTATTTTCGTGGTTTGTCGCGCAATCTCTTGTGCCCTCGTCTTTGCGCTGACATGCCCTCCTGTTTCGCGCCTGTCTTTCAAGACAGGCGCGTTTTTTTTTTTCTCCACGTCGAACCGACTCTATTATAGCGTCTTACGAACGATGCACCGTCACTATTGCGCATTCCAATCCATCCCATGTCCGCCCCTGCAGGAGGAGGGCAGGCTCTTGCTTTTAAGCGCAAGGTGAAGAAGACCCAGGAGGAGGTCTGGCAGGAGATGGCGGAATCAGGTACAACCTTTTCTGCAGTCATGGCTCACTCACTTGCCTCAAACCGTTACGTTGTGCCGAGGCGACAGTAAGGCTTGGAATGTTGACCACGCAAATCAAGCACAAGCGTATCGTGCGCCACGCCAACAGTGCCAAGTTACAGACCTGCGTCTTTGTCCAACAAGTCCCGTGCGAACGTTGTCTGCGGTTCCGGCGCTAATGCCAAACGTCAATCCGAAGCGAATTTGAAACCGTTCTTGTCTGCTGAACCCTCTGTTCAGGTTTGGATAGCGCGTCGCCAAGAAATCTACAATATTGTCTATCAGCTACACACTCATGATGCATCGGCCGAGGTCGCATGTAAATAAGTTCCGATCACCTCTGAAAGCTAATGGTGGTGATGCCCACGGCTCAACCCGCATCTCCAGACGTAAGCTGTGGGTGCGTGGACCTCTCAACTCCATTGAGGTTCCGACTCAGAAAAAACTGATCTCGGCAGCATGATAAACTGATCTCGGCAGCACGACAGGCTCTACATGATTTCGACACACTCTTCGAGTCTCCGGCAATATTTATCTTATTTTGCTTTTCTTCTGGGATATTGTGCAAAATGCTTGCACATCAATGCACTATTCTGGGAAAGAGCTGTTGAATCCTTCTCGCGTCAATTGCAGTAGAACGAAAAAACGACGACGAGCTTTGAACTCTGACCCCAAATCGGAGCTTCTAGCTCAAACACAACCTACATGCAAGAGGGATCATTGGGATCGGAATGGAAGAAACGAGCGCTACCGGTGAAGTATTCCTTGCTCGAAAACGGTTCGTTGTTGTCGAGCACCAAGGCCTGTGGCAGCCACGCCCCGATTAACTTCGCCAAGGGCAACAGGGTGTGTTGTGTGTGCCTGCGTGGGTTCGCAGTGCCGCCGTCGAGGAGGCAGACCGCGAGTGAGCGGAGAAGCCTCCGGATGGAAGGTGCAATGAGTCAGCGGTTACGCGGCGGACACAAATGACCCTGCAATTCTTTGAAGAACTTCCTCCACCGTGAGAGCCACGGTTGTCACAGCCAAGCCGGTTCTCCAAGGATGCCTTAAACGCACAGATTGTGGCCACCTGAAGCTCGTAATACCCTTGTCTAAGAACCATCAAAAGGAAAGCATCCTTGCCGTCAGTTGACACGGATCTCAGGAAGCATTGTGAGCCAACACCGTAACGGTCTTTGATTTGAAGACACCAGTAGAATAACGGGCATTTTCATGAAACATCAAACATTGATCAGTCCCCGTTCCATGCTGTTGCTGCGATATTTACTCTTGCTGGTTTGTATGCACCAGCGGCGGCGTCGGGCCAACGTCCGGTAACCCAAGACCAGCTGAGAAGGTTCGCGGAAGTCCAGGACGAACGTCATCGCGAGCATGACGCCAATTTCAGCTGGGTTCAGGGAGCGCTTGGCGCACTCAAGAAGAAGAACCGAAAATGTGAGGAAACGCTCGACCAATGGGTTTTCCGGTGCACGGGCCCTCTCGCCTTTTTTGATAGGATTTGCATGCATTCGAAATAAACACGCAACGCGTGGCATATCGAAATGGGTGTTCGTTAACCGATTTGAAGGAAGGCGCTGTGATTCGCCAAGACGCGCCCGCTTGAGCTCCTAGAGCCACCGCTTTACTTCTGGGGAAATATCCTCTTGCTAACCATCGTTGTTGACTTTCGCTGAGACCGTGTTCATCTCAGCAACTATATAGAACAAACGGTCCAATTGTCTCCCTTTGTGTCGTCTGGCTTGACGGAATTGGATGCAGGGCGTCGATGAGCACGGGAGTGGTTGATTGGCACAGGCCATGCACTTTGGATTACTGCGCACTGAGGCCCTCTTCTGTATGTGATGATGCAAGCGGTGTGCACTCCGGCGGGGTGAGAAACTTGAGCCCAAGGTTTTAGCCCGTCAAACCTTCTGTATGTTTGACATGTAATGGCAGGGCAGGGATGATTTGTACTGTTGCGTCACACCAATACCTCCGTACTGGTTTCCGACAGGAACTGAAGATATGTGCACAGGTGGGGTTTGACGTGATGGGTGAAACACGTCGTGTGCCCGTCTTGGCGTGTAGGGGTATATGGAGAATAGTCAGGATAAAAAACAGAGCCGATGGGGAGCCTTCCCGGGCTAAGCAGAGATTCCGACTAGAGAATTGCGGGTTGTCCTTTGTCGTGATGGGTCGTGCGTGGTTCTTTATACGGAGCATCATTTTTCTATTGCCCGTGCAGACTACGGTACCAGATCATTTTGATTTTTTACATAACTGTGTTTATGATTTGGATGATTCGTTGACGAGCAACGTGCTCCGATTGTAGCAATATTGATGTTCCTTTGGCTGGTCTCCCCTTCTGCTTGCTTCATGTGACTAAACGCGTTCCTATGTTTTCTCGACGGCTATCCTTGATATGGCTTGCGATTTTTGGTGGCCATCACGGGAGGCTGCTCAAGTGCAGACTGTTCTCAGTATAGCTGATATATCCAGCGTAGAACCGACGGCCACTCCCCCGCCCCCCAAGGCCCGTTTCTGATTTCCTTTCTGAAAATACCCAACACTGTTCAGAGTGGTTCTTGTGGGGGGTGGGCGGCTAGTGTTTAGCCGCGGGCAAACCACCGCCCTTTTGGCGTGTGACACCTCTGCAGGGTACAAAATCGTTGCACTGCGATACGTCGCAGGGGTGTTTATGCCAATCGTGTGTGACTTCGACTCTTGGTTCTCTTTTGATGAGCGCCTCACCCTGTCTCGTTAGCGAACCCTCGATCGCATGAGCAAGCAATCGAGCGGTGAAAGTCGGTCTAGGTGTGTGCGATGACTCGCACTGCGGTATTCACAAGTCTACTCCAACGTGATCTGCATGTAGGTAGCTCGTCGTTTCTTCCTCTTGCTAGCAACGGCCGTAACCTTCGTAGTCATTCAACCGAATCTAGGTTCGCGCCTAGAAAGCTGCAATTTTGTACTTTGGCCGTCGTTTGGCTTCCCTTCTACAGTATCCTTTGTGCCTAATCCCGAGCACCTTCTTTGGCATGGCTCGTGGAGCCGAGGCAATACAGAAAGACTCCGTGAACCCAACCTACCCAGGTGTACCAAGAGAACGAGCATACAACAGCCCGTCCTAACCTCTGGAACGTCCTGCTACCGGCCTCCGACCTGACCCCCCCCTACTTGACAATAAACGGTTGTCATGGTGCTTCCTCATTGTGAACGGCCCGCAAGCCCACACTGTACCATCGCGGTCACAGGTGGGTGTCAACCGCCGGAATCTCAACGAGAAACATCTGAGAGAAGAAGCGCATATCGATAGCTGGCGGCGCTACCGTTACTTGGCCTCGAGGGTCGCTTCTGCCCGCGCTTCTTCCAGCATCTGGAGGATGTTTTCCCTTGGGCCTAGAACCTCTTCCTCTGGCTCGCCATCTCCACCCTCCTCCCCTGCCAACGATGCGTCCTCCTTCCCCGCGGGTTCCTTCTCCTCTCCATCTTCAACCGTCACGTCTTTTTCATCTCCCTCTTGGAGATTGGCGTCCTTTTCATCCAATTCCTCAAACATGATGTCCTCTTCGTCATCGTCGTCGAACATGATGTCCTCCTGGCCGGCGGCACTTGCGCGTTCGTTGTCTTCGTCCGCGGTAAAGAAGTTCTCGACAACTTGGGGCACGAAAACAGAGTCGAAGCTGTCTCCGGGCCGCTCACCCGCGTCGTTACGGCTGTTCGGGTCCGCTCCGGCATTGAGAAGATACCTTTCAACACACGAAGACAAACACGCATGAAATATGAACCCTTGATGTAGTATGCAAAGCGCAGGGAGGTGAGAGAGAAGAGTGAACATAATCGACCCATGTCTTCTCTGCATCCAAAGGTACACTTTGGAGGAATCGATCTCGGTGCTTTTCGTTGTCAAAGCGTCATGCCGACATGGCAAGCTAATCACAAAAGCCACAACGTGTGGAGGCATGGAGAGTGGGACGGTCACCAGCCTTTTGAGGTTAGATCTTGTACCCTTGACCACACGGCCACCTCCGTGGATGGTCTCCCTCGTAGCGTGGTATGCTTCTGCAGGGCAGTGGCAGGGATCCCGGTTTGAACTACCATTTGGTGGAATTGAACATAAAAATTCAGCCCAAGTTTCACTCACTCGACCGCATCCTCGTTTCCCCAGAAGCATGCCAGGCTCAGCGCCGTGTCCCCCTTGTTATTGCGCAGCTCTAGCTCCGCGTCGCCTTCCGTGACGAGTACTCTCGCAAGGTCTGCGCTCAAGCCACAGCACAGAGGAACGGGGGTAGACCAACGAAGCAGAAGCCAGGGGAACACGGGCATGGTGTAAGGCGATGCATGATGAGAAGTAGGATTGGGGGAGGGGGGGGGGGGTGCTAATGTTTGCATGCCTTATCAGTTAGGCCGTTGACCACGCGTACTCCAGAACAGGAGGCGGGGGGGGGGGGGGGGACCCTAACCCGGGCTTGCCCGGGTCTTTAAACCTTTGATTTCCCTCCCCTCAAAACCCGGGAGGGAAACCCCCGGGTTTCCCCCGAACCAGGTTTCCCATTCCCCAAGGCGAAGGGGCCCGGGGGATTTTGGGGTTTTTCTTTCCAAAAAAATTTTTAACCCCGAATAACTTCCCCCAGGGGGGTTTTCCCATTTTTCCCAAACGGGGGGGAACCTTTCCCTTCCCCGGGAGTGGGGGTTTCCCCCCCCCCCAAAATAAATTACCCCCCCCCCCTTTTTGGGGGGGGGGGGGGGGGGGGGGGGGGGG